TACATAGAGCAACATCAAAAACAGAAAAAATAAAAAGTACAAGGATCACAAAAATATCCAATGTGGATCTAAAATCAAATACTCATGAAAGGTCGTCCTGGTCAGAGTGACTTGGCATGGGGTCCAAAATGTCAAATCTAGTCAGGGGCGGGTGGTGGCGGTCGACCGAATCTGAAGGATGAGTACTCTAACTGGTCCATCCGAATGAGCGTCCGCAGTCGGAGGAGAATGTTCTCAGGAAGAATGGTGCGTCTCTGGGGTATAGATGCCCCCGTGCTAGGAAGGAAATCAGCGGGCCGATTCCCCTTTCGGAATATGTGTGAGACCTGGTAATTGATCGAGCGGAGGGTGTCTCTGATACGCATAAGAGGATGCTGGATCTGCCATGAGCCCTGGTGGCCAGATGTCAAAAGTGTGATGACAGCCGCAGAATCCATCTCTATCCAGACATGAGAGGAGATCGAGGCGGCAATCTCAAAACCAATCTGGAGCGCTGAATCTTTGCATCATAACTCGAGGAGGCCAGGAGTGGCCCATGGAAGGCAAAGATGAGTGCCCCACCATGATCCCTAATCAGGCCCCCTCCTCCAGCAGCTCCGGTATGTCTGTCGAAAGCGCCATCAGTGTTTAGCTTAACCCAAGGGGCCTTGGGTTTCAGCCAAACAATGGTCCTGGGTCGTGGATGCTGGACAGGTAAAGGAGGTGGTGGCCTCAAACGATGGGGCGGTGTACACCTTGTCCAGTCTCTCGTCGTGAGTCTACCTAGGGCGGTTAGGAGAGAGAGGTGTCTGTCAACCTGCAAAATAATGTGAGCACAAGAAAATATAATATCCCCATGCTTCACATTATTCCTTTCTGTCCAGGTGGCCCATAGGATCAGACAAGGAATAAGGAAGCCCACGTGTCTACTGTGTGTGCGGTGTGAGAAAAAACTCAGAAGCTCAAAAAAACTGTCTGTAGTGGGTAGGGGTATATGAGTATATCTGGCATAGTGCTCCCACACTCTCCTCACAGTCTCACTCTCAAGGAAAAGGTGGGTGAAAGTCTCGATCTCAAAGGTACCGATCTCAACACTCAATAACAGCGGGAGGGTAAGGAGAACCCTCTCGCCTGCATCACAGTGTTAATGGGAATGCGCCGTAATAGGAAGCGCCACAAAAAGATGGAAATGGTCGGGGTGAGAAGGTCGGTCCATATGGCCCCGAAGAGGCGGTTTGGCTGGTTGCCCAGCCTCACATATCCCCAGACTGATGACGTAGAGAATGCACCCGAAGATGTAAGTCTCCACCTCATGCCATCCAAACCTCCCTCCAGAATGGAAATCTGTCGGATCTGGTCAATCTCTAGACTACTAAAACCCACACCCTCACCAAGAATATCCTCCATCTTATCTCTATCCTAAAAACCCTCTATCCAAAGGTCCTTCACCTGCATGAAAGGCAGGTGAGTAACTGGCCTAGTACTCGAGAGAGGGGCCTCGCCGAACCACCACTCATCCTAGAAGCTAACCTCCCCAGAACCCAAGGTCCAAAAAATGTGCTCCTGAGCACGCCTGCCAACAAAGGTGAGCCGTCTCCACTGTCGACTATCCCGAGCAATGGCTGTCACCCTGCAAGGATGGGCAGCACCACCAGGGTAATATTTCCTCAGGAGGTATTGGGCCCAAAGGGACTTCCCCTCCCTACGGCGCCACCACATCCTGTAGGAAAACGAGTAACAACATCAGAGAAACGCCGAATCTCGAGCCCACCCTCAGATTGGGGACGAAAAATGGAGTCCCACTACAACTAGTGGGTCCGTCGCCGTCCTCGCGAGCCCTCGCCATAGCTCCAAAAATAGTAGGCTAAGATCTGATCTAACTCATGAATCGTAGACTGGTGGGGGTCAAGCACCACGAGAAGGTGAAGAGGGTGGGCACAAAGAGTGCTCTTGATCAGAGCAAGTCGGCCTCTGAAGGATAGGTGTCTATGTGACCAAACAGAAATCCGGTCAATCATCCTCTGACGGACGTCAATGAAAAGCTCATGGGAAAGGTGGCCTTTGTACAAGGGGGCCCCAAGGTAAGGGATGGGTAAGTCCCCACGAGCAAAACCAGTGCGCTCGTGAATCTGGTGAGCCTAATGGTCTGCAACGTGGTGGTCCATAATAAAGGTGCTCTTACCAACACTGACTAGTTGGCCAGATGTCTCACTGTAGTGGTCCAAAAGACTCATAGGAGCTACTAGCCCATTATCATTCGCACGAGTGAAAATAATAATGTCATCCGCGTAAGAAAGGTTGGAAATGGGAGGCCCACAGCCACGCGTGCTGTAGGTCATCCTCAGAAAATCGCGAATGAAGCCGTCAAGGCAGCGAGAGAGATAGTCAGCCACTAGAACAAAAAAGGAAGGGGATAAGGGGTCCCCCTGATGAAGTCCGCGGGTAGAAGGGCAAAAGGTCGTGGGGCTACCATTAATCAAAATGGAGAGGCAGTGGTCCACACGCGCCTCCAAAAAGCTAATCCAACGGTTAGGGAATCCCATCCGAACAGTACCTCTCTGAGAAACGACCACTCGACCCTATCATATGCTTTGGCCATGTCTAGCTTCAGCACGAGGTTCGGGGTTTGTGTTCGATTCACATGAGAGATGTCATGTATCATCTCTTGAGCCAGTAGGATATTATCACTAATGACTCGATCCTTGATGAATCCACTCTGGTTCGGAGAGAAAAGATGGGGGAGGAGAGGGGCAAGGCGACCGTTGACGATTCTAGAAATGATCTTGTTAGTCACGTTGCATAAGCTGAAAGGTCTATAGTCAGACCAAGAACTATGTCCCGATCTCTTCGGGATAAAAAATGATAGAGGTTGCCGTGAAGGACTCTGGCATCTGGTGGCCAGAGAAAAAATCCCTCTCAGCTTCCTCTACGTCAGTACCCACAATCTCCCTGCAAGACTGGAAGAAGAGGGACAAAAAACCATCCGGTCTGGAGACGCTGTTGGGATCGATCCCAAACACAGCCTCCCTAACTTCCTCCTTAC